AAAGAATATTAAATTTTATATTGATATTGAAATTCATATATAGTTACAGGAAAATACCGAAATTCAATTATAAAATACAAATAATTTTCATCATATATTCGAATAACAATAATATTTTCAAAATGAATCTAACAAGTTGACATGGAACTATTCTATAGCAAATTCTTGATATATGAGCATGAAGTTGTGATTTCGCACATTTTATTGTTGAATTTTTATATAAATGTGTAATTAAAATTTGGTTGTTTCTTCGAGTTAATTAGGTAAGTCTAAATTAAACAAACCCAAATAAGGCTAACCGATACTACAGCTTTATCATCTTACATCATATTTGCAAAACATTAACTGATTCTCAATCTTTGTTGTAAAAACAACTCTTATGAAAAATTACTAAAATTTAAATACTGAAGCAAAAGTTTTTCAATCTATCTTAGGCTACTGGAGTTTACCCTACATCATGACAATATCATCACAAAACTTAGTCTTTCAAATATTAAATTTAATTATTAGAGTTTCGAATTGTATAACAATTACGTAAACGCATTGTTCTCATTTCAAAAATTACTAAAGCAGACAAATTTTGCTGACGAACAGACGTAATCAAATTAATGCAGAATTTTAAGCTGAGCAGACAACTATTTCAAGCGTTTACCAAATCTAGAACAAAAAAATATTCAGCGTTATATAAGTAAATCAGTATATTAAACTGAAACTTATCAAAGTGCAATGCTATAACCCATCATAGGTCCTCATGAGTATTAAAAGTTTTTGTATGAAGACAATGTTCACAGCTGAACAGATTCAGAGTTACAGGGGTCTAAAGCCAATTTCAATTGATTCTTTTACTTTTTGAAATTTTAAGTATAAGTATTTTAAGCTTTCTTGTGAATATCTACGTTATTTATAATCTGTTTAGATTTCAAAAAAAATTAAAATTTAAACTTTTCATTTTCAATAAAAGTTAATTTACTCTGTGACGTAATTTTGGAGCTCTCTCTAATTTTAGCACAGATGGCAAGCTTGTCTACTAATCATTAATTTAATATACGATTCATCATGCTACCAGATCTAGTTTCGGAGTTATTGGCAAATTTTTTCTTCCATGACTTAAAAATTTAAAGGAACTGATCAAAACGGTGTCCCTCTTACTTTTAAATTGTTTAAAGTAAAATTAAAAATTTTAATACGTGAATAAAACAAAACCAATCACAGGTTAAAATATATGACAACTAAGAACTTAAACTCGTATTAAAATCACACAACTAAAATACGAGTATTTAGTAAGAATAAAAGTCTAAAATTAATTTTACAATTTTTATATTTATTAATTTCGACATTTAATTGAAACACACATTTAATAATTCATTTGTATATTAAATATTATCCATATGTACATAAACATATAATAATATCAAAATCTATTTACATATTTGAAAAATAAAAAAAAAGAAGAAGAAAAGGAAAAGGCTAAAGCCTATACAATAGCTGATGTAAAAAAAATCGTGAAAAGGATATAAATAAAGGAAAAAATAAAAAACATAATAATAATGAAAAAATGGGAAAAAAAATTTGCATATAAGCCGAACTGAACAGGAAATTAAAATCCTAAAAAAGATCCTGTTATACACATTCACATACATAAATACATGTATGTATACATTGTATATTAAGTACATATTTTTTTACTCATCATAAACCAAGCAATTTATATTAAATTTTTTTTTTTGCAATAAAAATTGAAGAGATTGAAACAGGATGATCTCCAAATCAATAGAATGCTAAGTAATTTTGTGATCAATTATTTACCAAGTATAACTGATTTAGAATTTTTTACACAACAAGTTAATAGAAATTACAATTTACGCATCAGATGTTGTCTTCTACTAAGAAATTACAATTCACGATGTTGTCTTCTCCTAACGTATACGAGAGTAAAATATTTGTAATTCTTAATTGAAGATGTTAATAATTTTGAAACTCTAGCAGTCGCGTAAAACTGAGGTCAATGGAACAGATTTCAAATGAGCATTCAGTTATCGCTCTTTTCATTTGTCAATAAGAATTTGATGAAATTTTTTTCTTGAAATGAAAATTTTCCTTTTATTACGACATAAAATTTCAACTTAGTAGATTTAAATTTGAGAAATGAAGTTCAGATAACTCTGCTATCCTAAAGAAATTTGAAACTTAGGTTACTAAATAGATTGTCTTTAAGTCAAAACTCTTTTCAGTTAAGATAGTTTTGAAATATTTTAAAAACGCTTGTGCCTAGAATACTCAATAGACAAATTGTTTGAAAATTTCTTGTGTTTTGTTTTATGAAAAGGCTTCTCTTTGAACCCTATATGTGGAAATCTTCATAGACTAATTGCTCTAAGCAACTAATGACGTAATCAATTTTGCTTTCTTTAATATTGTACTCTTTCTGCTTACGATAATTTTTTTTATTGGAAATAACTAAATAGCTTATGATAACTGAATTTTTAAGGTCTCTATTGAAAATTGAGCAAGCACATAATTTAAATTTAAATCGAGTCATTTGAGAAAATCCTCGATAAAATTCTTTAAATCGTCAATTCTTTATAAATTTTGATGAAGCACTTTGTAATTTCTAATAATTTGAACATTTGTATGTAAAATACATATAAAATTTTAATAAAAATTCATAAAATAATTTCAAATATTTTTTTTATATTTCCTTAAATATTCATATTAAAAATATTACGTATAGAAAATCAAACAGTGTACCCTCTTAATAGGGGTCACTTTACTTTAATATCAATTTCTTTTTTTAAAAGGTTATTTACTCATTCCTTGTCAATAATGTAAAATAAAGAAAAAATTTACGCATGAAGAAATAGTAACTCTGTATAACTGTAATTTTATTAATTTAAGAAGGAAAAATACAGGACGGAATGTAAAATTAGAAACAACATTGAATATTTTGGAAAAATTGTAATTTAATTTTAAAACTACTACACAGAGGGCTATAAAATATTTAGGTATTTAAATTTCAATAAAATTACATCAGTCAGATAATATCAGAAAGGTAGTGCTGAACTAAAATGTTACAAATTTCACAAATAATTTTAATTAAAAAGTTTTGAGAATGCAAACTTTTTTTAATTAGATTAAGTAAAGATAATAACAAGCAGGATTTTTTATCCAAATGTTTGAAAATATATTTTTTAGAATAGTTAAATTTATGTCTCCAAATTTCCTTGAAATTCAGCTTTTATCTCAGGTTACTGGTCCATAGATTTTACACTAATCTACACTATAGATTTTACATTTTTTTCTATTAATAGCCAATACAATTTTATTACAGTCTCAATACCATGTATTGTGCTTGGTAGAAAGTATTACGCTGTTGCTCTAATTTTAATTTAGCTAAATTACTGATATTAAATGAACATTCCGGGCTTTGGCTGCGTCGCAACGTAAGACGTACTGTAAATTTTGGGTATAAATTTATTAGTAATATGAAATGAAGGCCATATTTGCGCTGCGTAATAGGCTTACTAAACTTGCTTAATGCTTGCTATATTTCACTTGATTTCTGAAACTGGCTGTTGTCATTATTTATTTATTTATCTGATGCAATATAACTATCAAATTCTTGTGCTACCTCCTTAAAATCTATGAGCTTTTTTGATTTTCTTTCAATGTTATATTAATGACCTTCTTAATATTTAATAATTTACCAATATGTTCTAATAACACACAATATAATGCATTAAATATAAATTACAATAAAATAGAATTCAAAAGAATTTAACTAACATTCATCATATTTTTTATTTTATTTTTACAGATTTTTATTCAGCTTTACTTAACTACGAAATCCATCAAAATCAACTTTTCTAATAGTCTAAAAGAGCATTAAAGGAAAGAAGAAGAGAATGAATAAAATCCGTGAATAATCATTATTAATATACCAATATTTTAATATCTTAGAACAATAAAATAAACTTTCGGGATTTATAAGAAAAAGTTGGAAAACATAAAAAAAAGGAGCAAAGTAATATTAGAAAACAAAAGAAAAATTTGGATTTATTGGCTTTAAAAATTTTCATATTTATCACATATATCATTATCTTTGCAGTCCGACCTTCAAATTTTATTTTTAATGTTTTATACACGTGTCCATATGTGGATTTTATACAAAATAATGTTATCCATATCGTAAAGAAGACTTCGAATTTGTACAAATTTGTTTCATTATTGTACTTTAATTTTTTCTATTATAAATCTTCAATAATTTGTAAGACCTTTTAGTATATCACAATATCATATGTATGTGTTGGTGCTATATTATACATACATACAATATTATCACGTATATACAAATATTGCAAGAAAGAATATTTTAAATTAACCTGGAATTGAACTATCCCATTTAAAGGGTTGAAAATTCATTGTTTTATCATTTTAAGACTTCAAATTTAATTATAATAGAAAAAGAATAAAATAAAAGAATATTTTATGTTCTTTACCAAAAGCAACAATTCTATAAAATAAAAGGACTTTAACAGAAATGAAAATAATATAAAAATTTCGTATTCATTATTTTGAGTTGACAAAAGATAGCCAACAGAAAGAAAAGACAGAAAGTATTTATTCGGAAAAATTTGCAATAAACTAAAATAAGTACACGTTCTAAATCACACGAATACATCGCTCGAGAATACATTGATTGAGGCACTCACGTTCATACAAAATTAATAAATTAAAATCTTTATTTTTTCATGTTCTTTTCATATTGAAGCAGATGAATGCAGTAACGGAAAATCATTATTCCAATATTTTTTAGTAAATAGTTGAAAAGAAGAGGCAAAAGGAGATATCCGCCAAACCAAAGTTATTCATTACGTTTTATATTTTAATTAAAGTGATTATAAAAATTGTCATCCTCTTGAAACGAAGCAAAAGAATAATACCAACAAATCTGGGAAAACTCAACGTATTACTCAAACATTGAAATTTTGCTACATCTTTTCTTCTATTTCTATATTTTTATTAAATAAATTGAGAATGTTATTGAAGAATAATAATTAAAAAAGTTTGTGGAAAGAGCTCATGATTCGAACTATTCACCTAACAGAAACAAAAACTACTTGAAAGACAAATAATTTTTCACGCTTAATAAATAAAACAGCAGCTACCTGTCCATATTTGTAGTATCTCTATAACCCCATTCAAATCATATATTGTGTATGAGTGAGATGATAATCTATTGAAACTAAAGAACACCTATTGGGTATCACTTTTATATAACTGAACATAATTTGATATCAAAATATTGATAAATCAACATAATCAATAATTTTTATTCTAATTTATTAAATTACAATCAACAAAAAAAAAACAAAAACAAAATTGAACAATCAACAATTATTGTAAATTGAAAATTCAACAGGGATTTCATTAAGTATAATAGCTTAATTTTAAAATGTAGTCCCCTTTTCCCAATCAATTTAGAATGGAATAAATAACCACATCGTATAGAATTAATTTCCTAAAACAAGAAGAAGAAGTTGTAGAAGTTTCAAATATATGAATAGAAAGAACACAATAACATTGTAATTAACTATACAGTAATCAAACCAATTAGAAAGAGAAAAAATAAAATCTGCAAACATGTTGCCAACAAATGTGATGTCCTTTATGAAAAAGGTAAGAAATATTTACTTTTTATTGTTAATAAGATCTAGGCTTAAAATATCGAAACAAAGTTTTAATTAAAATCGTTCTTAAAAATTTAAATATGTTTTAAAAATTCGAAATATCAGAAATTTTAATTGAGAAATATACTTAACAATGTCTAATATTTTGTAAGATCTCATATTTCACCTGGAAATTGAAATTTAATTTACAATTTTTTCCGTCCGCCAAAATTTATTCAATTCTAACTATAATTATACTGCGGAAATTTTTGACATTCATACTTGAAATGCATATTATATTGAAAACAAGATTCGAAAATAAATCTATTCGACTTGAAATAGTTCCACTTCACAATAGGATGAAGCACAATTTAAAACATATCGTGAAATCTAAATGATTGCGTAGTGTTAATAATTCCCTTTTATACTTTATAAAAATTTACTGTGCAACCAATAATTTGAAATGATTTTTTCAAACATAACCTAACAATTTGCACTCATGTCAACTTTTGTTTTGTTGTACTCATATGAACTCCAATTTCTGTATATTTACCATTACTAATAATATTATGTTGAAGTCTAATAACTTCTTGTTATAAGTCTAACAATATTATGTTGAATTATAATATGAAAATTCTTGGCAAGTGACAAAATCTGTGATCATGCCAAAATTAAGCCACAGTAGTGTGTGTAAGAATTTAGTATAAAGTCAACAAATGAACAATAAAGAACTAAGAAAGAACAAAAGCTAAGTTGCTTAAATTTCTATAAGTGTTAGAAAAAACTCCATAAACGCATTTATCGGTGAAACGAGATTTTAATTGGAGCCCCCAAAATTATTGTAAAAATTTAATTGGCAATGTCATTTCAATGTCAAAACACTACCTTACAAACAAAATATTAACAAAAAAAGCTTTATTTACCTTAGGTTTTTTAATGTAAAATTCCTTTTCAAAAAAAAAAGTTTCAAAAAGAATTTTAATGAAATACAAAATATTGCAATTATCTGTTATTGAATATTTTAATTGCATATTTTTCTCTCTTTTATTACAACAAATTATTCAATATTTTCCCTTTTAAAAAAAATTCTTAGTAATGAATTCAAGCCTTTAATAATTAAGGGAATTAAAGGTGATTTTTTATTTTGAAATTCAATAACAGTTTGCAAAACCAAAAAAAAACAAAATTGATGTGGTCAGAACCGCGAAGAACCGACCAAAGTATATTTTATAGTTTAATACAAGTGTTACAGGAGATTATGAAAATATCTTCTAAACGCTTCTTTACAATTTTGGAGAAACTAGTAAGGTTTTTGTTAACATTTCTTGAAAATGAAAATTTATCTCTTAGTAGATAAATTTCGCTTTGTGCCTTTTTCCGAATTCCCTGAAAATGTTGTCAATTGGTTCCAATAATAACCGCAACTTAAATATTGAATTTCAAAAAATTAGTTCGGTTAGCGAACGCTGATCTTTCCAAAAACTTATTTACAGCTTCATTATTTTAACATCCCAAATTTAAATATTTTTTATATTTTCAAGGTCGCCTATTCCTTTTTATATGTGCAAAAATATAAAATCAACACGCAAAAAGGTCCGATTGCTGAGGAATGATTTCATCAAAATCAGTGCAGACTTGAAATACTCGCATGCACACCAAGAGATTGAGATATAGACAGACAGACAGACCGACATTTCCCTAAAATCGAAAACTAAGTATCTGAAATTTGGTGCCGTCACACAACCTCTCTTATTGTATGCAATACGGACGTTAAAAATATAATATGGGTGTATTAATTAAATTTTAAATAAAAAAAAAATAAAAATATTAAAGAATAAAATAAAAAAATTAAATTTATATGTGGGCTTAAGCGAAAAAGGATCTATTTATTTTTTAAAAATTCCTCAAATTTTGAAACAAAAAAACAAATACCTGTTCCTTCAAATTATCCTTTCAGTTATTTTTAGAAATTTCCATTAAATTACAAAAAAAATTATCCTCAATTATCATTAAAATGTTAAGTAACAAATTATTTAAGACCCCATAAAAATATCTTATTTATGTAGAAAATTATGTCCTGGCGTGGACTATTAAGAATTTATATCTTATATTAACTCACCATCACCGTTTTTTTTGGTCTTTATTACGCAAAATGAGATTTTTTAAAATATTCGCCTTTCTATGTATTTCATACTTTAATAGCTTCCCAAGCATATTTTTTCAACCTTCCCCCTACATAAATTTCAACTCCCATTATTAAAGTATCACTTATGAATTATGAATATTATGAAAAGGAATTTTTGAAATTGAAAAAAGAAAATTGAAAAAAAGAAAATATTGTCCTCGATTTTATTTTCTTTTAAGTTACTGTTGATGAGTGTCCTGCATATTTTAAGAAACAGCAATAATGGTATTAATAGTACTATTTTGCACCGCATCTCCGAATAATAAATTTATTATTATGTTGTTGCTATTATCATAATTTTATAATTTAAAAAAAAATCAATTTTATAAATGAAAAAAATAGAATGAAAGAACGTTTAGAATGTAAAGTTTGTTTGATGATTCCAGGATTATGAAATTTTAAAAAAATCTAAGAAAAGTGGTTTTGATGAGTTTTTGATTGAAAGTATGGACTATTTCAATTTGTGAGACCATATTGGAAGCTACTTAATCATAAATAATGAGAGCGAAGTTGAAAATCTGCAAATGTAACCTTCAAATTCAATATCAGTCATTGTTGATAAAAAATCAACAAAAGCATTATAATAATAACTATTGCTATAGTTTTTTTTTCTTATAAAATAACTCCTTTCTATTGATTTTTGAAATCACAAAAATTTGCAAGATAATAAAACTTACTACACCCCTAATCATCTTCGCATAAAAATTTGTACTACTCGAGCGGCATCAGATAATTCTAATATCAATATCTTAGAGGCAAATATATTAATATAATTTTTAGTATAGTTGGAGCTGACGAACACAAATTAGAAAAAATTGAATAGTAATAGAATTAATTTTGTTGATGAAATTTCTTGTATGCTTTTTTTCCTTTACCATGAGATTTTTGACCATATTTTTTTTCCTATTCTTGTGCCTCCTTTTTCTATGTCATTTGAACTTAATTATATAAAAGTACATAATACAGAAGATTTTACATAAAAAAAATGTAAAAAACATATTAAAAAATAGAATAAAAAAAGAAAAATAATTTAAGACTTTGTAACAACCAAACGCGTAATGGTCAATTTTTTATAGGACCATAAAAATGAATTGAGAATTTTTTCATTTTCATATAATATTTTGGGAAGTTTTGGCTACAGTCAATCGTAAAATTTTTAATGTTGAATTTTTTCTCTTTTATAGACAAAATGGTCATCATACGATGGTGCTAACAAAACGCTTCTTTCATTTTACCAAAATTTTTTTCAAGTTCATAAAAAAATTAAATTTTTTTTTGATATTATAAAAGTTATATATACAATATCGTTTTTTTTCCAAAAAGTCACTAAAATTTTAGTCCTCTTAAGATTTGGTTATAATTCCAAATAATTAGGATTAATTTTGAGAAATTTGAGATAAATTAATTTAATAAATTTTAAGAAATAAATGAATGTATCTCTGTTCAATAAGTAATAGCTAGTACGGAAACTTTAATTCTATATAATTAAGATGCTAGCACATTAAAGATTGGATAAATTATATTATACAATTTTGTATCAAATTCCAAATTTTGTAAATTTCCGTCATCAACGGTTAAAAAATTTGGTACGTGAATTCATTCCTTCAGTTTTCAATGTGCCAATATAGAGAATATTGTTGTTTGGGTTAAAGAAAAAATTGGTCCAAGCAACAATAATATTCAAGACAAGAACCATTAATCATTAATGGTTCATGTAAAAATATCTTGCAATATCCCTTTACATCTTTTAATATAAAAACGTTTTGCAAAGAGCTATGATGTAAATTAATTGTGAGGACTAGAAAAATTTCAGTATTTGATTTGCTATTTTCTTTCATTTTAGTTGATAATTTATTTTGATTTCTTACATAATTTTCAAAATTTCAAGTAAAATACCAAAATTTTTCTAACATCAATTATAAAATTTTACATGACTTCATTTTAAACTCATTAATAATACAAGCAAGGAATTTTCAATATTGTACATAATATCTTGAACATGAAATTTTAAAACAACTTGCACTCTGTGTTTCAAATTTGAGTCAAGTTAGTTTTAAAACTAGGCCGTTTTGTAAATGGAAAATTATGTTTTATATTCAAACACTCCACGGTCGACATAAAAATTTTATCGTACGAAAATTTTAAAAATTTACTGTAAATAACGTAATTAAATTATGTAATAAAAATGTTAATTAAATTGAAATAATAACAAAATTAATACGCTTCCTTAATTGAATAATGTTTAATTTTACTAAACCATATAAAGAATATTATTAATTAATATTATTAAATTCATTTAAAATTTAAATTCATGTAAGAGTGAGTGTACAAATATTTATTAAAATATATAGTTCGATCCTAGAAAATCAAATTCTTCCCTAAAATTTAATAATTCTTCATATAATAATAATCTACAATTAATATAAAAATTTTTCCCCTAAAATTGCATTAAACTTTACCCTATGTTTATTAATATTGATTATATTATTAAATATTAATTTTTTCGACATAATAACTTTGATTTTATTGATACATCTAATAAAACAATAGTATATAAATTTATTATACGAACATATTATAGATATACAATAATATACATTACAAGCTTATGGTATAGCTTATTATTTACTCGAATATAATCTAAAACCAAAAACAAATTTCCTTTAATACTCTAGTGTCTATATTAAAACACAATTTGTTTAATAAAATCAATAAAATCTTTTAACCTTGAATTTATTTTTCTCATTATAACTATTTACAGTAAAATCCAAAAATATTTCATGTAAAACACCCCCCACATAATATCAAACCATATTAAAACATAC